GATGGGGGGATGAGGACAGAGGGCTGGGCACAGGGAGAGCAGGGGCAGCTCTAGGGGCGGGAGCGTGACTTGCCTCGGGTACTTCAGTGACGACTCAGCAGCGGCCATAGCCTATAAACAAACAGAGGTAGAAGCGAGTCTGAAAAGAGTCCCCAGCCGGTGCAGTGCAGGGCCCGGGGTGGGCGCCTGTCAGTGGGGGAGGGCACCCGGCCTGCCCACGGGAACGCTCCCCCGCAGGGAGTCCTGGCCCAGCCTGGCCCGGCTGGCTACTCACCCTTCTGCATCTGCCGCAGGGTCCGGGTCCTGTCTGCTCCCACCGCGCAGGCCCCTGGCCCCCACCGTCCTACCCTCTGCCCCTGCCCTGCCTGCAGGGAGCCTGGAGCACAGAGTGGGGACGGATGCTGGCCGAGCCCCTTGGACTCTGGGGCCGTTTGCAGGTGACTCTGGGGACTGCTGGGCCAGGGGACCCGTCTCCTGACTCTACAGGGAGCCCCGAGCCTCCCTGGGTATTTCACATGCCCTGCCTGCCCCCAGAGCGAGCAGCTTCCTGCCAGGAGGGGCACTCTGGGTAGGGCAGGACAACGCGGTCTCTGGGGGCAGGACTCGAAGTGTGGGAGGCTTTGGGGGAGCCCATGAGGCCACTTCCCCCAGAGGTCTCTCTCTGGCAGCTGCCAGCCCCTGACCCAGCGCCACACAAAAGGGAGGTGTGGGGGTCAGGCTGCCAGACAGCGAGCTCCCCCCCTCCAGACAGAGCTCCTCCCCCTCTAGCTACAAGGCAGGGAGCTCCTCCCCATCAGCACAGAGCTCCTCCCCCCTCCAGGAAGCCAGAGAGAATGCTCCTCCCCCTCAGCATAGAGCCCCTCCTCCTACAGGAAGCCCCTCCCCTCAGTCCAAAACTCCTCCCACACAGCACAGGACTGCTCCCCCTACCAGAAACCACAGAGGAAGCTCCTCCCCCTCAGCCCAGAGCTCCGCCCCTATGGCTGGCCACTGGTGGTTCTGCAGCACGGCTCCAGCCCTCATGTTTACCTTTGATAAAGGACAGGTCCGTGAGCAGCTTCATCTCTCTGCTGAGGTCCAGCTGGAAGCGGCTGAAGGACGAAGTGGCGGTGGGCCGGAAGGTCTGCAGCGAGTCTGTGGCCCTGACGATCCTGCCGTGACAGGAGGTTCAGGAGTTGGTGCAACAGGCCCCGGTAAGGGGCTCCCGGTACCACCAGTGCCCCAAGTCCGTGCTACTCGCGCACCGGCGTCCCTCCCGCTAGCCCACAGAGGTGCAAGGCTCCTCCTGCAAGTGTCCCACTGCACTGGGAGATGGGGACAGTGCATCAGCCAGATCCCCGGCCCCAGGAGATCCCCTGCGGCCCCCCGGACGGAACGGTACCTGCTGTGTAGCTGCTTGGCTGCCTGGACAAAGCAGGGGTGGTCAGTCTCCTTCAGCACCTCCTGGGCGTAGCCCACCATGCCCGAGTTCTCCAGCATGGCCCGGTGCTCCTGGATCTGGTGGTGCAGGCTGGCCAGCCGCTCCTGCTGGGACTCCTGGATGGCCTGCAGCAGGGCCGTCTGCTTCTCCTCCAGCACCGTGCACAGGCCCCGTATCAGCTGGGAAACCTCCTCCTTGGCCTGGGACCCATTCACCTGCCCAACCAGAGCAGAGTCACCATGGGGCCTCCCTCCACACGGGGGCCCTGCTGCCCCGGGGCTTTGGCACCCGGCCTGGGGGAGCTGGAGGTGCCCTGGGGATGGCGGTGCTGTGCCCAGACACCTCCTGCCCTCGCCCCAGAGGGGTGAAGCAGCGTCCCCTCCCCCAGCCCTGGCAGTGCCCCTCACTGGCGCCCCCCGCTCACCTCGGTGTGCTTCACCGTCTCCTCCAGCTCCGCAATCTGCAACTGCACCGTGTCCTGGCTGCTCAGGATGTAGGCGAGGCTCTTCGTCAGCTTCTCCTACGCGGGCAGCACGGGCAAATGAGACACATGGGCCGCTCGCCTCGCACAGTCCAGTGCACGGGGGGGAGGGGCTCTGAACCCAGCCACCTGGGTGTGCACATTGCACAAGTCGGGCCCCACGCCTGGGCCAACGTGCACGGTCCACGAGGACTGTGGCGGGTTTACAAAGGGACCTGATCCCCCCCACTGCATGCACCCCATTCACTGCATACCCCCCCCCACCCCCCCCCCCCCCTGCCCCCCCCACTGCATGCACCCCATTCACTGCATACACCCCGCTCACTGCATCCCCCCACTGCATGAACCCCGTTCACTGCATCCCCCCCACTACATGCACCCCGCTCACTGCATCCCCCCCACAGCATGCACTCCGCTCACTGCATCCCGCCCACTGCAATCACCCCATTCACTGCATCCCCCCACTACATGCACCCCACTCACTGCATCCCCCCACTGCATGCACCTCACTTACTGCTTCCCCCCACAGCATGCACCCCGCTCACTGCATCCGGCACTACATGCACCTCGCTCACTGCTTCCCCCACTGCATGCACCCCATTCACTGCACCCCCCCACTCACTGCATCCCCCCACAGCATGCACCCCGTTCACTGCATGCACCCCGCTCACTGCATCCCCACTGCATGCACCTCGCTCACTGAATGCCCTGTCTGCGCCCTCCACCACTGGTACTGGACACCCACCCTGTGCATGCCCTGTTGGTCTGCACCCCCCAGCTCTGGGATGGGATTCCCCCCTCGGGGTACATCCCACCTGTGTCCCTCAGCTCTGGCAGAGAGACAGACCTCCCTTCCTGCCAATCCCCCATCTGCACCTGCCCATCTCTGCCATGGAGACCCACGCCCCACCCTGTCCATGCCCCAAGTGCCAGCACAAAGATCCCCACCGTCCATGCTCCATCTGCACCCCCCAGTTCTGGCCTGGGAAGCCCCAGTGCATCCCTTACCCGCAGTGCCTGGTAGGCGCTGAGCACAGGCGTGACCTTGTGGCTGGCGTGAGCGCGGCGTACGCGGCACAGCTGGCACACCAGCCGCTGGCAGGTCTTGCAGTAGTGAGTCACCTCCTCCTTGTGCTCCGGACACATCAGACCCTGTGCAGCAAGACCCACATTCAGCAATAGCAGTCAGCGCTCCCCTTTCCAGCCAACACCCCACACCCAGCCAGGGTGTGTCAGCATCCCCCTCCCAGGTCTGCACCCCTTGGCCCCCCTCCCCACCCAGTGCCCCAGGTGCCTCCCCATTCAGTGATCACCTCCCCTCCCAGCTGCCTCAGCATCCCCCTTCCATCCTCGTACCCCTCCAATCTCGGCGCCCCCACCCAGTGTCCCTGGCAGACACCACATGGGTGCGACACCGGGGCTCACACCACCCTGAGCGCCTCCAGACGGACAAGATGCACGGAACCCGCCCTGCCCTGTCTCCCCCCTGCCGCCCGTGCGGCAGGGACCAGAGGCCCTTTCACCTCGGAGCCATGTTCAGGTGCCCACTTGCCCCTGCGCTGGGCACGAGGCGGGTGATGCTGGGCACAGATACACCATCCCCTCCCCCACAGAGTCCCAGTGCCCAAACCTCTCCCCAGCTATGCCCCAGGGACCCAGCCTGGGGACCGCTCACACCCAGCCCTAGCTGGAGCCTGGCCCGGGACGCCCTGGGCAGCCCCTACCTTGGGCCGGAAGGTGAGGGTGGGCGGCGTGGGCTCGTGCTGGGCCTTCTGGGTGCCCCAGGGGTGGTAGAGTTTGAAGCATTCATTGCAGAAGCTCGACTTGCACTCGGTGCAGCCCTTGGTGGCCTCCAGCTGGGGGGGTTTGCAGAACTGGCACATGATGGCGGTGCTGATGTTGATGGTCTGGCGGTACCGCTCCACGATCCGCTCCAGCGTCAGGTTCCGGAACAGGTTGCCCAGGCCCCGCTCACCCAGGTCCACGTCCCGCTGGCAGGCCGGGCACGGGAAGATGACGGTCTGGGGGTGCACGGCCCCCCGCTTCCGGCCCGGGTAGGTGCCAAACCCTGGGGGAACCCAGAAGCCTGTCATGTGACATTCAGCCCTGCCACAGCCAACCTCCCGCCACAGCCATCAACCCCCCCGCCACGGCCGCCACCCCCCTGCAACAGCCACCACCCCCCGCCACCTCTGCCACGGCAGCCACCCCCCTGCCACGGCCAGCACCCCCCGCCACAGCTGCCACGGCCGCCACCCCCCGCCACCACCCCTCTGCCACGCCGCTACCCCCCACCATGGCCCAGACCCCTCCCACTCTGCCAAGGGGGATCGGGATCCTTCTGCTCCCAATCCACTCTGGGGGACAGGGGATGTGGAAGCTGCATCCCCCAGACCCTGTGGCAGGGCTTGGGATCCCAGGATGTACCGTTGTCCCCACCTGACTTGAGGAGCCGATCCAGGCGGTCGGGTTTGGGGATGACCCTGCGGCCCATGCGGGGGCTGCGGGTGGCCGGTGTGGAGGCAGGCGAGGTGGGCTCCGAACTGGGGTCGCAGCAGATGTAGCCATGCTGCACGAGGATCTCACTGGCACAGACGTGGCAGACGTTGTGCATGCAGGGCAGGGCCAGCGGCTGCTTGTACATCTCCTTGCAGACAGGGCAGATCAGCTCCCGCTCCATGTTCTTCATGCTGGTCTGGAGAGGGGCCAAGGAGAACGGTCAGTCCCTCGGGGGAGCAGCCAGCAGCAGGGCCACAACTGCCCATCTAGGAACTGCCTTTCCCTTCCCCCCACCAGAGGGGGCGCTGAGGCTCAGTCCTGACCCGGGAGCTCCATGCTGGCAGCCGTATGGGGGAGCCCTTGCTGGGCAGGTATTACAGCCACTCCCCAGGGGGGTCCCCTGCCCAACCCCCCAGTCTCACAGCCGCTCATTCCAGAAACAGCTGCTCACTGGCCGCTTTCGGCAGGTAACAAGAGGTGCCACGTTCCCTGCAGGTGCCCAGCTGGCTCCAGAACCTGCCCAGCCAGCCCCCAGCTAGGCGCATGGTCCAGAGTCTGGCCAGCCTGCCACGCACTCCGGTGGGCTCTGACCCCAGCTCCCCAGGCTGCTCCGTCTCCATTCCCCGGCCCTCAGAGCAGAGCTCAGAAGGACCCCGGGAACCGCATCTGCTCACCTGAGCACCTGCCCCCTGCTGCAGAGATGCATTATGGGGGGGGGAGAACAGCTTCCTCTGGGGGATGCCGGGCTGGACTGGTCAAAGGTGGAGTAGCAGGAGGGGGGATACACAGCTGGAGGGGGCTTTGGTCTGACCCAGGCTTGCAAGGAGTTGGGGCACCTGGCTGGCTGGGCCCACTGGGGTCAAGTGGTTTCCACACTGCGCTTTGCATTCGGAATGGTGGCAGAATTTGCTGCTTCGTTAGAGGGTCTGGGACACGCTGCTTCGCCCAGTTCCCCGTAGGTTCGCTGAGCTGGAGCTGGGTTTGGCCCTTGGTTCTCCCCACTACCCCTCCCCATTGCACACACCGGGCCTGTTCACTGCTGGTTTGCTCTGCAATCGCCCACCCAGCCCCCAAACCTGTCCAGTTCCAACCTGCAACGAGCGAAATCCCGGCTCTGCTTGTGGCCCAAAGCGACCAAGTGAAGGGCCTGGTGCGGGCCCCAGAGCCAGTCCCAGGGCAGGCCCTGAGTCCCAGCTCCGCCTGGCCGGGCTCTCTAGGAAACAGATGCTGTGTCCTGAGGAGCCCACAAGCTGCCAACTCCCCCCAGCTGGGCAAAGAGCTTCCCCCCCCCCAGCCCAAAACACACGGCTCCCTCTGCCCCGAAGCCCCATTCAAGGACCCTCCGTTCCTGACTCGGCTGCCCCTGCTGCTACCCCTTGTGTGGCTGACACGTCCCAGGTGCATCTGCCCAGTTCGGTGCGCGCTGCAGACACACACACACACCCCCCCCCGCTGCTGCACAATACAACGGGGGATTGAGGCAGCCAGCGAGGAGCCTGCCGCCTGCCAGGGCCATCCATCTCCTGGCCACAGAGGGGCAGATTACAAAGCCCAGACAGTCCCCCAGCTCCCAGACCCCCGCGGCGGGGGGAGGGGGGAGCTGTCAGCTGGCCAGGGCCCGCACTCACCTTGCTGCATCTCTTGGATGCCATCTCTGCCTTCGGAGAAGGGGCGCAGATGACACAAAGCGAGGGGGGAGGAGGAGGGGAGATGGTGAAGGGAGGGGCAGGGGGAGAAGGGGGCAGGGCAGAGACAGAAGCTGGACTGGGCCCTGCTGCTGCTGCCTGGCATCCAGCCCTGGGAGCGCCTGCCTAGGGTTGCCATGGAGACTGAGATCTGCATGGATGCTCGGGATCCTTCTCAGCCTCTGGGGAAGGAGGGTCCAGGGCAGGGCCAGAGGCGACTGAGGAGAGGGGGGGGCAGTGCCCAGGCTGGGCACGAGGGGGGGGGGGCAGGGCAGTGCCTAGGCTGCTGGAGTCAAGCATCTCACCCCCAGAAGCAGCTGGTCTGGTTCCTGCTCACCCCCCTCCCATGCCACCATCATCACTCCCTCCATCACCACCATCTCTCAACCCCCCCTGTGCATTGCACGCCCATCCCCCATACACTACACACCCAGTCATCCCCGTGCATTGCACACCCAATTATCCTTTGCACCGCACAATCATCCTCCTGGCCCCTGCACCCCCCACCCCCCCAGTGCAATGCACACCATCTCTCAACCGCCCCATGCATTGCACACCAGTCACCCCCGTGCATTGCACCCCCCACCCCCAGTGCAATGCACACCAGTCACCCCTGTGCATTGCACACCCCACCCCCGTGCAATGCACACCGATCACCCTCGTGCATTGCACACCAGTCACCCCTGTGCATTGCACACCCCACCCCCGTGCAATGCACACCGATCACCCCCGTGCATTGCACACCCCATCCCCCCCATCACGAGGCGTGCCTCCCCCCGTCCGAGGAGCCGCTCTCCGCCCCCAGGCAGCCCCCAGCCACTCACACTGATCCGGACGAGCGCATCCATGATGGAGGTGAAGCTCTGCAGCTCCTCGCCATCCGCCATGGCTCCGGGCCGCCCCCGGCCGGGCTCCGGTCCCGACGGCAGCGCAGCGGCAAACACCCCAGTCTGCGGCGGGGAGGGCGCACGGAGGAGCCGAGCTGAGGCAGGGAGCGGTGCGCATGCTCCCGGGTCCAGCTCCGGCCTGGGGGGAGCGCGGTGGGGGTGGGGGCGAGGGGCTGGGACCGGGGGGGGGCAAGGTTGCCCCCCTGCGCCTGCAGACAGAAGAGAGGGTCTGGCACGGGGGGAGCGAGGGGTTGGCACGGGGAGCGAGGGGCTGGCACTGGGGGGGGAGCGAAGGACTGGCACCCAAGGTTGCCCCCCTGCACCTGCAGACAGAGGAGAGGGGCTGGCACCCTCGGGGCAGCGCTGCCCCACTCCTCACAGGGCTGCCCTCGTGTACCAGGGGGCAGCAGCCAGTGCCAGGGAGGGGAGAGCGGGGCAGAGGCAGCCTGGCTGGGTTACTAGCCGAGCCTCACGGGGACTGGCCCATCGCCTGCAGGACACCCACCCCCCACAGCTCAGGGCCCTTCCCAGACGTAGAGCTGTTGGCCCCACCGTCCCTTTGAGGCTCTGGGGCCCCGTGAAATCCCCTCCCTGCCACGGTCCACACCCCTGCCACTGGATGTTCCGAGACTCCGCTGCCCGGGCGTATGATCTGAGCGCTGGCCTGGGAGCCAGGCTCCCTCATCCGCCCGGCTCTGCTGGGGATCTCAACGGAGAGGGGAGTTAGGCTGCCAGCGCGGCCGCTGGTTGGTGCCGCTGTCATGGGGGTTGGGTGCAACGGGGACTCTTGCTGAGAGCCCGTCTGATGTGTTCCCCAGACCTGCAGAAGAGCTCTGTGGAGCTGGGAAGCTTGTCTCTCACCCACAGACTCTGGTCCAGTAAAAGATATTCCCTCCCCCACCTCGTCTCTCTTGATTCCACAAGCCTTTTCTTCCCTGGGAAAAGGGTGTTTTAACCCCTGGTGCTAGCCCTGGGCTCCCCCTGGGCTTTATCTCGACCCACTCGACTGCTCCTCCGCACTGTGAATGTGACACGAGCTAAACACACAGTTTGCCAATCTGGGCATGGCCTAGGGGCTGCTGCTGGGCTGTGTGTCTCTCCAGCCCCGGGCTGGGCAGAGCCCGAGCAGAAGGGGAAAGGCCTGTGACTGGCAGCCCAGGCCTGGCAAGGAGAGGATTGAAACATTGAGGCGCGCTCCGGGGTCCAGACATCACAGCACGAGCTCCATGTTACAGCCGAGTTATCTGGGCTGGAAGATGCCAGCACCCAGGGGTCCTGCTAGAACAGTGAGAGCGGAGTCAACAGAGAGCCCTAATGGGCCTCTTAGTGCAGCAGCTAACGCCCAGACCCTGAGAAAGGGCCCAAGGAGAGAAACAGGGACAGGGGAGAGGATGGGGAGTCGGTGAAAACCACTTTGGTGCCGAGCGCATCGGCCACCGCTTGGGAGGCACTAGGCATGTGATCTGCCGCTCCTAGGCCCTCTGCCCCCAGCCCCTCTGCCCCCAGCCCCACTGCTCCCAGCCCCTCTGCTCCCAGCCCCTCTGCCCCCAGCCCCTCTGCCCCCAGCCCCTCTGCTCCCAGCCCCTCTGCCCCCAGCCCCACTGCTGTGCCCCCCTCCACCACCGTGGCTAGTGCAGGCAGGTCTCTGTGTCCACCCCTTGGTCTATGTCTGTCCATGCTGCGCCTCGGTGGGCACAGACAGGTCCCACCCCAGTGCACAGGGCCCCACAGCCCCAGACCCCCCCCCCGCCCCCCAAGAGCAGGGGGCTGGAACAATTTGTACAGTGGGGATGCTGAGAGCTATTGAACCAAACTGTAAACCGTGGATACGCTGGAACCACTTCAAACCATGGGGGGTGCGGCAGCCCCCCCAGTTCCAGCACCTATGCCCATAAGGGCCAGAGGGGAGGGAGCTCCTACCAGGCTACGAGAATGGGGGCGCTATAGGATAACTGCAATGTCAACGCCCAACCGCCAGGGGGCGCTGCATTGCAAGGCTGTGCGCATGCGCACGGAAGCGCACAAAGCAGGTTCCAGCGTTGCCTCTCGGCCGTCAAGCGGACTCGGCGATCGCCCGAACCCCGTGGAGGCTGCGCATGCGCGAAGGACTCACCACTCGCTCACTGCCGCGTCCCTTCCCGAGTAGCCTGGGCCTGGCGCGTGCGCAGTGCGGCTCTCCGCGCCGGGCTGGCCGCGCGTGCGCAGGAAGCGGGGTCGGCGTGTCTGGGTCTCAGAGCGGACGGGTCGGCGGCGGCACCTCGCGGGGCGTCATGGGTAACGGGGGTGGGGGCGCGGTGCCCCGGGGGCACGTGGTGCCCGGGCTGGGGGATCCACCGGGGAGGTGCCCCAGGTGTGGGGGGGGGGGGGGGGGGGGGGCCCCGAGGGGGGGGGGCTGGGGGTGCCCACCAGGGGAAGTGTGCAGGGACCGCCCCGAGGCTTTGTGCCCATGGTGCCTCCCCGCACTCACGTGGGGCTGCTGGCACCTGGGTCCCCGGGCACTAGGGGCAGGGCTGCTGCACAGCACACAGTTGGGGTGGTGCCCATCACCCTGGCGCCTGGACGCCGCGTGGCCCATCACACCGCAGCGCGAGCCGGCCCGGGGCTGCAGCAGCCCCGCAGGGGTGACCGCAGGGTGCTGGGGCCGGCCTGGCAGTGGCCCAGCGCCTCATTGCGCGGTTCTTGTTCTGTCCCCAGCCGTGGGCACGGGCACGTCCCTGGCGCTCTCCTCGCTTCTCTCCCTGCTGCTCTTCACCGGGATGCAGATGTACAGCAAGCAACTGGCCTCCACCGAGTGGCTGACCATCCAGGGCGGGCTGCTGGGATCCGCCCTCTTCATCTTCTCCCTCACCGTATCCTTTGGGGCGTAGGGGGGATGGGGGGAGACCTGAGCTGGGGCAGACCCTGCGCTGGCTCCTCAGTGGCAGCTGCGTCTCCCTTCCTTCCTTTCCTTAACTCCGGCTCCAGGCCTTCAACAACCTGGAGAGTTTGGTCTTCGGCAAAGGGTTCCAAGCCAAAATATTCCCGGAGAGTAAGTGCCCAGCCGTGCCCAGGGGGATGGGGGGGAATCACATTTTCTGGCTCCCAGGTAATTAAAAGAAACAGCAAGACCCAGGGGGATTGGGGGGGTGGGCGTCGGATTATTCCTGAGACCCTGGGTCTGCAGAGAGCTGCCCTGCTGAGAGTCCAGCGCTGCAGTGAGCAGACGCCCCGCCCCCCCCCCCTTGGGACCCCAGCCCTGCCCTGGGAAAATCCATCCCCCCACCCCACTGCACTCCCAGCGGGACCCTAACCCTGCTCTGGGGTTCCCGCCTGCAGCTCCCCCCGTGGGACCCTAGCCCTGCTCTGGGGGGAGGGTTCCCACTCGCTGCTTCCCCCTTGGGGGAGGCTGGCTTGCCAGTGCAGCATGCCCAGGGCAGACACTCACTGCCACTCACATTTCTCCCCTTCTCTCTTCTCCAGTCCTCGTCTGTCTCTTACTCGCTCTCTTTGCATCAGGCCTCATCCACAGAGTGTGTGTGACCACCTGGTACGTAAAAGCCCATCCCGCGGCGGTAGCAGGGAACAGGCCCCCCAGGCCTCAGAGTGGGGGGAGGACATCGCCCTGGGGAGCTCTAAGAAGCTGCTGTCAGGGCTGAAGAGACCTGCTGGGCCTTACAGAGCTCCTTTCCCCAGCTGGCGGTGCTGCCCCTGTACCAGGCGAGGGGTTGCGGGGCCAGCAGGGTTGCTCCCCGGCTGGGCATGGGGCTGGTGGGGCTGCCACTGTGCCAGGAGAGGGGTCGCAGGGATGGCAGGGTCGTTCCCCGGCTGGTAACAAAGCACATAAGAATTGCATGTCTGGTTCCGACTCCTGGTCCATCTTGCCCAGGATTCTGTCTCCACCAGGCCAGTGTTTCAGAGGAAGGGGGCAGTACCCTGCAGCAGCTGGGGGAGGGGTAAGCCGCCCCCAGCCTGGTTTCTAATAGCTGGAGCTTGGCTCCAGGCCCAAAGAGAGCTCATGTGGGGAGCAGGTTATGGGCAAGGGATGGTGCTGACTGGCCTGCCCTTCTCTCTCCTCCCAGCTTCATCTTTTCCATGATTGGCCTCTACTACATCAATAAGATTTCCTCCACGCTCTACCAGTCTGCAGCGCCCACGGCAGCGCCCGCCAAGGCCATTGGCAAAGGCAAGAAGAGGAATTGATGCCCCCAGGGCCCCTCCCATCCAGCCTGCCCAGGACTCTGGGGCACCCAATAAAACGCTCTCTTTGTAACCTCTGGTCAGCAGCTCCT